TNTGTCTTTACATTGTCNGATGATGGATTGAACACTGTTCTGTGCTTGGGTTATTGTTTTATACCCCAACACCAGTGGTAGGTACTGACTAAAATGTTAGCTGCGCTAACGCTAAATCGCTAATCACAAACATTAGTTCTGCTAATGCTTAAGCGCTACACCAACACAGTATTGAGTGGAAGTTAATGCTACACAGCTAATTTTAGCGATGTTGATACCCACCATGTAGCAATGACACAACATGAACTGTAGCAAATCTCCCTCAACAGAATCAAATTTCTCATTAACCACTTGTGTTTTGTGCTTCAGGAAGTGATTTTTTTTTTCTACTCATGGCTTCAGTTTTATAGTTGCAGAGTGTTGCTAACTCTGTTGCTAATTTTGCCTAATTGGCTACGGTAGGACGTCAGTCAGAATACCCACAATACATCAGTCAATTTTCCGGAGAAAAAAAACATAAGTGATTTGCTGAATCTCATCACAGGTGAACAACGCGAGAAGTATCCGTTTTAGGTATGCTGTTATACAATAATATCTTATCTTCAATTATATAATATATATAAAATCAAGTTTAAATGCTAAAGAGACAACAAAAAAATTAGCTCTTCTATTAACACATTTGCTAAAGAGTGCCCTCCACTGGAAAATACTCTCTCTGCAACCTTCACCCTGACCTATTTGTTAGGTTACTTGGTCTTTATTGTGCTTTTCATTCAGTAATAATCTCTAACAAACTGCTCAGGTCCTCAAAGAGCAACTTTATACTGAGGTTTAGATACAAACAGGTGGAATTTGTTTACCATTTCATACTGGATTTTATTTTTTTGGACGTACCAGAAATTGCCTGAATACAGCTACATTCAGATTTTTATTTGTAAAAAAAGTTGAAAACCATATATCATACGCTTTCTATTTCACAATTATGCATTATCACACTGCTCTTTTACATAAGATCCAACTAAAATGCAATAAAGTTTGTGTTTCTTATGATGAAATGTGGAAAACCCTGACGGTAAGAATGTCTGTTTTTAAAACAAACTTCTAATTCAGTGCATTTGTGGCCTTCACAGTAACTGTTAGTAGCTTTAAAACTTAACATCAGACAGCAGATGCAGTGTGAAAAAAAACACACACACACACAGGTGGCATGATGGTGGTTCGTGCTGCATGGAGACGCGTGGATGAAACTGTGGAGAAGACGAGAAGCCTTCCTCCTCGTTTCCCTCTCAAACTCATCTTTTGGCCTTCGCGAGGAGAAAAAGATGTGGAGAGAAGGAGAGAAAGGCTTCCAGTTTCTGAGACTGAGCGGGAACTTACTGAGTGTGAGTTTCATCATCATCTGCACCATCATCATCCTCATCCTCATCATCCCCTAAGTGTGCAACATGGCCCCTGGGAGAGGAGGGGAAGACAGGAGGGGACGATCAGGGGGTGGGGGAAGGAGAGGGAGGGTATATTTTGTTGCAGTCGGGGAGAGAAGTAATGGGGGCAAGATCAAGCAAATAGGGATGGGAGATGACGACAGGAGAGGAGGAGGAAGGGAAGAGGGGGAGGGAGAGCTGAGTAAAGCTCGGTTCACACACTACGTCTAAGATCTAAACTCAGGGCAGATCTGAAAGGACTGAAGGATTCCAGTCCAGCAGAATAATAGACAAGTCCCTCGTGTTTAACGGCAACCTTTCTCACTCTGCTGATCGAAACTTAACACTTCTCCACTAAATGCTTTCTGTGGCCTCATTGTTATCGCTGGAGATAACTTATCCCAAACAGACCCGGACAAATTCATTGGCACCCCAGGTAAAGATGTAAAAGAAAAAAAAAAAAGATATCTTAAAATAAATAAAACTTCTACAGCATGGAGCAGAATCTCACACTGAACAACTTCTGTGTTAATTTGGCAAAACATGATGGATCATTAATGACATCTTTTCTGTTTACCAGAAAATTTTATCCAGGCACATAGTGCCATTTCATAGCATAATCAAGTAGTTATGGTAACTTCATTTGTTTAAAAAAAATGCTTTAAATATCAAATATGAGAGAAGACATTTTACTCTGGGCTTTTCTCTCTTCAAAAATTCCTGCTATTTCTGAAACTCCGCCTTCAGGAAGGCGCCCCTCTAACAACCCTTTAGCAAAAATTTTTCCAGAGTTTCACTGAGAAGTAGCTAGTCTGAAGGAGCGGAGTGGTGGAGTCTGTGAGGCAGAAGCTCAGACACTAACCTGGAGCTTTGTGGCCTAAAAGCTTAAGCGTAGTGTTTATCTGACCAAACCCAGAGAATCAACTTAGAGTCTCAGAACTTTTATATATATATATATATATATATATATATATATATATATATATATATATATATATATATATATATATATATATTTTTTTTTTTGAGACAAAAAAAAAAAAAAAAAAAATTTTTTTCCTTCTTCTT